AATTTGAATTTTGAGCAAATTTTAATAATTTCGCATAAAGGAAAAAATGAAGAAATACGAATCAGACGTGTTTCCATCAACTGGCTTGAAGCGAATCAGTTACGTCAGACACATGCGTGTAGTAAACAGGAAGTAAAAGTCGCATCTCAGGACAATGGAGAGAAGTTATCAAGAACGTGTTGCCACTATGGGGAAAGTTGTACTTATTCTGTCATATCAACTAGTTTTGGCYTTGTTACATGCTGTCTGGAGACATAGAGAAAGAAATGCAATTCTCTTCACGTTACCGGAATAACAGAATACGCCGACAGCGGGAGGAGGATCCTGCCGCGAGTTGCGGCTGCAGTCATGCTGGTACCGTACCGTTCAGACAGTCGGAACAGCTGATCAACCATGTGAGGTAAATGTTTGCTACATTAGAACTCATTCGGCAAATGTGTTCCCATATCTCCTTTTGCGCATTAACCTTTTTTTTAAACCCCACCCCCCCAAAAAAATCACCTCAAGCGAGCGCATCAACTTTTTATGTGAATTAGAGGAATTTTTTTCGAATCATGCCGTTTCCATTCACCTTTTCTGATGCGATACTTCAAAATGCGCATTGCGCCCTATACATTGCCCCCAGTCAGAACTCTGAGACGCGGACATTGTGGCTCGGAGCGTGTGATTGGTCTGAACTTCGTGGGTGTGTTTTATTCATGGAGCACCGGTCCAGTGGGCCAGCGGTCCTCAGCTGTGGCGGCGCCGAGAGTTGGACCGAGCTGGACCAGAACAGGACCCAAAGCAGATCTTCCTTCTGCGTTTTATTTTGTTAAAAATTATATATATWTTTTTGTCTGAAGCCAGTTTTAAAAAGATCCAGGTCCCAAGGAGCGTGAGCACACAGCTGGTCATGTCTTTTTTTCTGTCCACCTTTAAAAAATGACTCTACTTCATTCAACTTAATACTGATGTTGAGTGGAAAAAAACACTATCCAGCCATTGTTATTGTAGTTTTCATACTTTATATGAGCTGAGGGAGGACAGAGGGAGAATTTATGATTATTTATATCCACTGCGTCTGCAGCTCGTTTATACTCGCTCAGGAAAAAGACGCGCTGAAATTGCGCAATTAACAAACCACTGTTGCACGTCTTATTGAAGTATAAACCAAGCTTCACTCTCCCACAGACATACCCACATTTGTTCTTCTATCCTCTTGGAGACTTTGCATAGACTCATTCATTTACCAGAATTTTGTATAGCTTATCTGACCATAAACCTAGCCTAAACTTTATTCACCCCACGATGTGGACCTTTTATTTTAATCCAGCAGGGAGAACAATAGAGGTGTTCTTCTATGCCTCCTGTGAACAATTCCAGCATTTTTTAAAAGAAAAACAAATGCGGACACGCTAATTACTGTGCGGTTTCAAAATGAAAGTAACATGGCGACGCTCCCATCCGCGAAACTTAAACACACAACTGTTCTCTCTACCACTCATAGTCCGACACAGAGGGCAGAAACAGCTAAATTAGACAGTTAAAACACATTAAAAGTTCATAACTCACCCTTATTGTTGTTAGCACTCAGTTTCACAACATTAGCAGCTCTCTCCCCGAGGGAGGGGTGGCAACGTGTGCTCGCATGACCCAAAGAATGGATAGACCGAAAGGACGAACGTTCGTCCGTTCGGCCGATACCGATATAAGGAAAAAATGCAAATATCCGCCGAAAATATAGGCCGGACGATGTATCGGTCGACCCCTATTTTGAAGAAATGTCACAAATGGGGTGTTTTTTTATTTTTATTATTTTTTAGACAAGGAAGCTCTTCACTCTTCATTCGTACAAAGAAAGAGATAACAAATCCAGAGACTAACTGCAGATACAATCAGAATTAGAGTCAGATTATTTTGAAACTTAAAAACCTAAAAAGATGTACTTGGACATATTTTTGATCTGCAACATAATAAAGAGTCAAGCGTTATTCAGCAGCTCRTGCTGCAGACTTCAGTAGCTTGAATCAAAGCAGCTGAGGTTTCTCAACGCCTCTTTTAATTCCATCCTGTTCTCCGAAAGCACACGTGAGTGTGGTGAGAGAGGGTCTCTGTTGGTGATTTCTGTACTGTCAGGGGGGAAATGAACACGTTATGTGCTGTTCATTCGTTTAGTGGTTCTGTGTTCTCCAAAAGAGATTTAAACTGAGAACTCTGGACTAAGATCCATCTGCTGTTGCACAGAGTTCTGATCATTTAATAATAATAATAATAATATTAAGAAAATTATTGTTGATAACTATCATGAGGAGTCATTAACATTAAGATGTAACATAGTAATTAAATATTCAAATACATGCAAATTTCTTATAATTGAATCTGAGCTGTATAAATCTGTTTTTTGTTTTAATCAAACAAGTAGCTCTTTGTGTTTCTACCCTGAAGTAGCTCTCAGTCTCAAAAAGGTTGGTGAGTCCTGTCCTACAACAATACTCACCATATTATTCACCATTCTGGCTTTTGGTATTGGAGATTAGAACAGATATTTTATTCTAGTGCTACAACTTTTTGTTCTGTGCTACAAAACCAGCAACCTCTGTAGCACCGGTGCTATGAGCTAAAAAAGTTAACGTACGGCTTTTGCTTATTTTAAAATTTATTAGTGTATTAGCACTTGCTAAATTTATAGGCTAAATTTAGAAGCACTAAGTGAGGTCTTTAAATGTTATTGATCAATGTTAATATTAACAACTGAAGGTGGAAGTTGTCACACATTTTGTTCATATGTGTGTCACTTATCCAATAGGTGACATATTGACAAAATATGAACTCAAATACAGCTGTGAAAGGCTTAAGAGAGCAACATGTGACTCATGTTGTCTGTTGAAGAATGTCCCATGGGTTGATTGGGTTATTTTAGTGTGTTAGAATTAGCTTTTGCTAAATACTGTATTTAGTGTGCTAGTGCTTTAGAATTAGGGGACCTAAATATTAGGGTTAGTGGAACTAATTTTTAGATTAGTGCTGCCCACCACTGCTGATGATCATTACAATGTTTGATCTCAGGAGTGAAATTCTGAGAAAACCTCAAATTGTGCTGTTGCGCAGATAGAAACAGCAGCCCTTTTTGTTACAGTTGCCGATGGCTAATTTGTTACCACTATGCAGACTATATTGTTCATGTTAGCTTTTACATTGTCTCTCGATTTATTGTTGTTTTAAGTGTATTATTTCCTTGTGCTTTTATATAAAAGCTCTGTCTCAAGTTTACCTGGCAGGAGCCCACAGCAGCCTAAAGAATTACTCTGTGGGCTGACGTTTATCAGGCCTCTGATTGACCCATCAGCTGAATTCCCATAACAAGTATTTGCAGACGTGTTGTAGCGCACGCTAACAGACGTATTAATTATTTAGAGATTCATGGTTGAAGCATGCAGAGCCCATTTGATCTATTGTTTTAAATATTTATTAATTAGGCTTCAACTACTACATATCATGATGGCCGCAGCAAAAATGCCATACCTAGATACCTCTGCTACAATACCAAACACGTGCTGTTCATGTAATTCTCCAGAATTAGATAATTCAAGGTCATTGATTTGATTTTGATTTGATTTATTTATTTAKCAGGAAAATATTATTAAAAATCAAGCCTGACTCAGCACAATTGCTGTTTTACAGCAGGTTCCTGTTCTGCAGCACATAAACACTCAGAATTACAGCATCACAATCACATCATTATACACCATAGACACAAAGACAAACAAGTATAGCAAATTTCAAAAAGGCAGCATTTGCAAAATAGGACGTCTAAATATGAGCACAACAAAAAGTGTCCAGCAGATGGCAGACAAGATTCTTCTTAAAGGGCTGTAGTTTTGAAATGGACTTTATGTTTTGAGGAATGTCATTCCATGCTTTAGTATAAACATAGAAGAAAGACCTCTGGCCGTAACAGTTTTTAAAAGTTGGTAATATCAGTTGTCCTTTTGTAACAGATCTAGTTGAATGACCACTTCCAGAATTTGATTTGGGCAGCAATGCACAGAGAGTTCCATAATTGGCACCTTGGAAGATCTGAAAATATAAATTAATACCACTATACAAAACATAATTCTGAAAAGTCAAGGCATCAGACAATGAAAGAACTGTACAGTGATGAGTCCAACCAGGAAGTTTTTTATGAATTTTGTAGGCCCCGTTGTAGAGCCTAACTATGGGTTCTAAGATTTCATTTGTTGTAAGAGACCAAACAGGTAAACAGTACGACATGGTTGAGAGTATAATGGCATGAAGATAGATATTTGAAACAGAAGATGTCAGATTGGATCTAATTTTTGAATAAACATATAATTTTTGTTTCAACTTAGTGATTAAGACTTGTCATGCTTAGAAATGACTTAACTGCTAAACAGCAAAACTTGCACAGTCATTCACCTTGAGCCTTTCTTTTTAATGTTCGACATGAATGATGAAGAGCTGTGTCAAATTATTCTAAATTATTCAGTAGACTCCTCACTTTTGCTGTATTTGTGAGTTTGAATATTGTTTTGGTCACTGTTGTTTTCCACTTCCTTCCATCACTGGCTCAGCTTTCACTCCGCAGTGAAAGGAAAGCAAAGAAAGAAATGAGAGGAGCTTGATGAAGGGCAGTGATTGTTTGTTTGTTTTTTACAAGGATGTTATCCTTGTGGTGACATGTTTTTTTTCCTCTCACAAGGCCAAGTTAAAGGTAATCAGAGCACTGTTTAATCAAATATAATCCCCGTATTGCTTCAGAGGATTAAAGAGAGCTTTCCATTTAGTTCATATGACTATAGTTTCTCACACTTGCACAAAACTACTAATTTAGTTTCACTCAAAGTAAATTAGGAGTTTAAGACAAAAATACACTACTTGGTTGGCAAATGAACGTAAATGTCTTGTTCCAAGTTTTTAAAAAAATTTTTTTATATACATTTTGTTTTCTGTTGAATGTTAAACTCATTTCTGTTTTTCGTCTCCACTTCTTCCCCATTTAGTGATGGAGCCTACTGTTGTGAGTACATCCACTCTGGCCTCTGATGAGTTTGATAGGAATGTGCCACGGATCTGCGGCGTGTGTGGCGACAAAGCCACCGGCTTTCACTTTAACGCCATGACCTGTGAAGGATGCAAGGGATTTTTCAGGTATACATTCAGCGTGCATCTCTGTGAAGTGAAACGGTGCCATAAATTCAGTTTTAACACACTAAAGCACGATTGGTACAGTTGAACATGAGCTCTGCTGCACAGTACTCAAGACAGGAAAAAAATATCCCCTCGTATCGTGCCACTGACATGGCTTGCTAACACTTAAAGTGCATACGGCTGCCCACGTGCGCACACAAATCTGCTGCTCGTCATGAGCTTCTAATTTGGCTAAATAGTTGTTTTAACTTTGCCTTTTTTTCCCATGAGTGTTTGTGTTTAACATATCTGTTCATTTACATCTGTTGCTCTCAGCAGTGTTGATTTTCAAAGGGAGAGCAAAAAAAAATGGATATTTAATAATCTCCTTCCTCGTCTCAGATGGCCCCTCATTTGAACTCTTGCATCTGTGTTTTTATTCACGTTTATATAAATGTATGTGCGTTCACTAAATCTAAATCATGATGATCTGCGTCATTCCTGGATTCTTTGGCACATATCTGCGTGTTTTTTCAGGCTTGAAAGTGAAAAGTAAATATATGCATTACATAAATGTAAATACATAAATATTTACAGGTCTGTATCATTATTTGTGCTGAGCAATTTTAGAGTTTGTCATTGCTTTATATTAAAATTTAATTACAAAAGATTTTAAAAATATGCAGACGTTACCGCAGAGGCACAAAACCTTTAAACTTTTACTCTTAAACTAATGATTCTTTTAGTGTTCTGAAACGATTTCATCTGTATGTGTTTTGACATATTTTTACATGTTTGCCATTTAGGCGCAGTATGAAGCGTAAGGCCTCCTTCACATGTCCCTTTAATGGCAGTTGCACCATCACCAAGGACAACAGGCGTCACTGCCAGGCATGCAGGCTCAAACGCTGCGTGGACATTGGCATGATGAAAGAGTGTAAGTAAAATATGTGACCTATATGTCTTCAGTTACAAAGCCCACAGTTCACACTATTTTATTTTTCTTGAATAATCTGTGAAAGGTTGTTTTACCTAAGTGACTTAATTGATCACTAAATAATACTGCAGTGTCATTGCTTAGTTTATTTTTAATAAGTTGACCTTTTTAAAATAKTGCATGGATCTGAAAATAAAAAAATCTATGATGTGATCTGCTAATATCCCATACTGATACAAAAGCTACGTCCCACCTTAAGAATGTACAAATACATGTTCTCTATTGTATTTTTTTTATTTTTTTTTATTTTTTTTGGTTAGCAGATGAGACAAAAAGAAAAGAAAACAAACACCTTTTCCGATTGTACTAGTGGTGTTTGCTGTTTTGGGGACCTTCTGTCCCTCCTGAAAAATATTATGTAATATTTGGCCTGAGGTTAAATATCTCTGGGTCTTTGCCCTTTTTAGAGTGTTTACATGTTCTGTTTAAACAAGTGGAGCCTCCCTGTATTGTGTAAAGTATACCACATCTCAAGTTTAAACACCTAATGTGCAATCTAACTTGGCCTCCTCTTTCTACAGTTTTGTGTTTGTTTTCATAGTCTGCAAATAGCAGGCACATCTTTTCTTATTTTCTGGTAATATCCGGATATTGTCCACAGACCTCCTTTATGCAAAAGGTCTCACACTACCAACTTAATGTTTTTTGTCTCCCAGTGTCTCTGGGAGTGCTGGCAACAGAACTATAGTTTACTGTACGTAAACAGGAGCCATTGATGTTGCTGTTGCAAAAACAGCAGCATGTTGTTGAGACCCAGCTCTCTCTCTGTTTCTGTGAGCTAATTCAGCGGCTAGAACAACAAGGAGCAAACAGAACAAAGACAATGTGTTCAGTTGTTCAGTGCAGCAGGGGTCTCCATATGGACCCATCCCCTCCCATTCTCTTCCTCCAGAGAATAACAACCTCCTTTCACCCAACACAACATAGACATGGCTGTCATCACAGTGTTTAGGTACATAGTGTACCTTAGAACAGCTTTGATTGTGTAAATAGATTCTGTTGATCTGGTTTATTTATAATTTATGACTGAATGACTTACCTGAACCACTTTTTAATCTGCCCTGTTTATGCTTTTCTTACACAAAAAGAGTCWATCGCTTTTCCTGCGAGTCTATTTTTTTCCTTCATGCGTATAATACTAAAGCTCCCTCTGTTTGTCCTGCCCCTCCAGTCATTCTGACAGATGAGGAAGTGCAGAGAAAGAAGGACCTGATTCAGCGGAGGAAGGAGGAGGAGGCACAGCGCGAAGCGGAAAAGGAAGCTCGCCGACCCAGACTCTCTGAAGAACAGAGTCAAGTCATTGCCACACTGGTGGAGGCGCACCACAAAACATATGACGACTCCTACTCTGATTTCTGCCGTTTCAGGGTTCGTGCCTCAGATCATATTCTTGTGCCACAACGATGTTCAGATCACTTACCCTTTTTTTTTCCACTGGTGTGGTGGTGTTTGACTAGTGCCACTGCCAGGTTAGAGCTGGCAGAGAACCACCTCTGAACTGGTTTGTCCAATAATAACCATATCAGAGCCACAGTCTATTCTGAATTTCTGTAGACAGTTGAGAAAGCTTATCTACACTTTTTAGTGTTTGCCTTGTTTTTTTTCCCCCTGCAAACTGTTGAAATACCAGCAGGTTTATTTAAAAAGACTGTTTACAACAGTTTGTGTACTCTGTTTTTCTGTATTACTGAACACTACAGAAAACTCATTTACAGAGGGAAGAAGAAGTGTCAGGTGATGATATAAAAGCACCTGACTGAATAGAATAGAATAGAATAGAATAGAATAGAATAGAATAGAATAGAATAGAATAGAATAGAATAGAATAGAATAGAATAGAATAGAATAGAATAGAATAGAATAGAATAGAATTTATTGTCCCACCGAGGGGAAATTCAGGTGCCACAGCAGCATCAGTACAGAGGTTCACACACTAGTTTACAAACTGTAGACAATGCATAAAAAAATGAAATTACCACTAATTAGCAATGATACTACTATTACTAGTAAAAATATAACATAAAAGGACTGTGCAAGAACAAAAAATACATGCTTTGTTTTAGAGACTGTAGCAACCTGTCAGAATTTGACATTAGAAATTAGGATGATAGTGAACACCACTTCAAACAACTTTTAATCATTCGTTTAGAAGGCCTGAAGTATGAATTCAGTTCGTCAGGCAGGGTTCACAAACAGAGTATACGACAGAAAACTAAAAAGATTAATGAGCTTTACCTACACGTTCATTTTTTTCTATTTAGGCTGAGTTGATGCTACACTGGCTCCAGCATTATTACAAGGTTTTAGTTGGTACCCTTAATCCCACGCCTAGCCACTAAAATAACTGGTTCTTTGATCTGAAAAGAGTTGGTGTTACTGTAGCACCGGTTTTCCTGGCCTGAAGCCAGTGCTTTGGCAGTCTGAGCAGAAACAACCGATTTTATGTTTGGCACTAGTGTGGATCCGACACTGCTGTGAGTGGCATTGATTTCTTGTGTTTTGAGTTTTCTGATTTGGACACATTTTATCAATAAACCCTTCATATTCTGCTTCTACTAAAAAATATCTGTATTTTCCTGTATAAATTGAATTTATTTTTTGTACTACATAAAGACAAAAGGTTTGGTTATAGATTCTGAGCTCTTGTACTCTTCTCCTTCTGCAGCCTCCTGTTCGTGAAGGCCCGGTGACACGAAGTGCCAGCAGAGCTGCTTCTCTCCACTCCTTCTCCGATGCCTCCTCTGACTCTTTTAGTCATTCTCCAGGTGATTAAACAGGATACACACAAGATCAAATAAAAACAGTAGCACACTCTCTCTACTGTCCCCTTTAGAGTTATTCAGGAAGAAAATCAAACAATGATACAATGCTAACAGATTGAGAAAGCTCTTCCTTTATTTAGCAAACACTAACTTGCAGAAGTTTCATTTCCAGTTTACTTTTAACTTTTGTAATCTGTAAGGGGGTCGCGTTGAATTCATTTGTACTGAGCCATCACAATACTGACGTCAGTGTGCAATCTGATGAAGATTACGTTAGTCACAAAGACACGTTTTTTTCCCATAACAGAGAAAAAGAGGAAGAAATCATCTACATCATTGTGCAACAGAACAAAGCAATAAAAGACCAGTTCAGATGATAAATCCTGCCTGTTTGAAATCAGCAGCGTCGAAAAGTTTAGTTCACTGCCTTTAATTTTCCAGTCTAAGGCAAATTAATCAAAACAAACAAGACAAATCAAACTAGATGTTTTTCATTTTGAGAGTTTTTTGGCCTGTAGGACACTGTCTCATTCAAATTGGTTGAATGAGAACTTTAGTTTGATGTTTTTAGGTTACCAATTATCCTTCCTTTCTGTACACGATCTGATAATGTAGAGACTTCTTAATGTTAAGGAAGGTTTGTTTACTAGTCATGGTTATGGATGGGATATTCTTTATTTAACATAACTAAGAGAAATTCAGATTTTTTTTTCATTTGTACCAATTGTCACCCCACCAAACACCAAACTGTGATTTATGAGTACTGTTACACCCAAAGTAATTTGTTAGAACACCTCAATTCGTCTTTTTGTTTCTACTGCTTGGTTCCAGATATAATAAATATATACAGATAGATAATATCTATCAAGATTAAAAAATGTAAAATTCGTTTGTACTGTGAAAGGAATATCAATTTCTCCTTTTTTTTCTAATATCTGTTGCTCTTTTTCCCTGTAGAGTCTGTTGACACCAGAATGAACTTCTACAACAACCTGATGATGTATCAGGAGCATGGCAACAGCCCCGACTCCAGCGAGGAGGAAGGCTCGAGCTTCTCCATGCTTCCTCACCTGGCTGACCTGGTCTCTTACAGCATACAGAAAGTTATTGGCTTTGCCAAGATGATTCCTGGTTTCAGGTGAGTGTTTATGTGGACATTATTGTTCTGCTTAATTGTCTGCCATCTTCTCATTTAGAAGTAAAACAAGCAACATTACTATCAAACGTACATGTGACATGAGAGCAGATTGACTAATTGTTCACTGTTATGACTCGTAGTTGACATAACACTGATAGTAAGAGTAAGCAACAGGGAACAATTGAGCTTCTCTGGATGCTTTAAATATTTTTCTGAATATCAGGCTGTCCCATTTATTTTATGTATTTATGTTTAGGGGACAATCTCTTGTTTCACTCACTTTATGGAACAACTTCTCATGTATATTTGTTCGTCTCAGTGTGACTTCTGACCTAAATGTCTTTGGAAGACTTTGTACACATATTAGTGTTTTTCTCTCCCGATGAATTGATCGTGTGTCACGGTGATGCATGTAATCATGGTCTAAAGATCACAGATTACTGATGGGCACAGATGGCTGACTTGTGCTAGAATATATTACGTAATGTATTGTTCCTCAAAGGAAGAAAGTTGCTCATTTACAAGTAGTCGTGTTGTTAGTCTGAAGTTCATCAGTTATCAGGAAGTAATTACTGTACCTGATTTACCTGACATATTCATARGCACACAGGTTGTGACTCTGATGATTATAAATTTTAAGGATTTTTAATTGACTTCAAATAGAAAAAAAAATTTGACTTGTGTTTAAAATCTTTAATTGTATAAGAGAGGCTATAATAGAGTAATGGCTGGTAGAAAATGTAATTTTGTGTATTTTTTTAGGGCTGTCAAATGATTAAAAATTTTAATCTATTAATTCCAAGGTAGCTGTGAATTAATCACGATTAATCTTAAACTTAATTTAAAACTTTAAGTTTTTAAATATTATTTATTTATTAAATAAATAAAATAAAATAAGCCATAAGAAGACAAAAAGAAAAAAACTGTACATAATGTGTTACACATGGAGGTTTTTTTAATATATTATTTATTTAACGGTAACTTTAATTTATTAAAGGTGATTGATTGATTGATTGATTGATTGATTGATTGATTGATTGATTGATTGATGATTGATTGATTGATTGATTGATTAACCTTTATTTATCCAGCTAAACTGTTTGAAAACCTTTTCTCCTTTAAAAACATGACCTGGCATGCAATGAGTGCATTGCAATGTACAAACCTACATATTCAGCCATAGTAAAGTGATTGTAAATTTTAATTGAGGTTAAAATTTTTAATCTATGCCCATGCAGCACTAAAATTAATCAGAGTTAACTCAATTAATTTCACAGCCCTAGTATTTTTATTTATTACTATAACAGTGCAAGAATTGTCAAGTTGCTGTTTTTTCTGTCCTACCTTTTACATCTAGAAAACATTCCTTGCCAGAGTGTGTGTTTGTCAGTGTGTTGCCAGGGACAAATGTTTTGTGTGTTGTGAGGTCAGCCCAAAGTCAAGGCAGAAACGAGGTTGAAGCTGTATTTTCCTAAAGGTTTCATAATGACTGACAGTGGGTGATGAACATGATGGATTACCGTTGGAATGTTTGCCCACTTTCAATCTCCTTCCTAATCCCTAAAAAATACCAAGGACCTCTCCTTGACATCTGCAGGCTTCAGCTTATAACTGCTGCCAGTTTGTTAGCTCCTTTTTGAATTTGTTTTAAGAAACAAAAATAGCGAGTTTGATGGTTTTACCTGTCACTGCTGACAAATAGAACATTACTTTAAGTATTGCTGCAGGAGGCTTCAAACAGAATGTTTACCTTTTATTTTTTGGGCCTAGAAACCAATACCTGTTGTGACAAAATCAAAAAAAAATTGTATTGTTTCTGCTGTTGGTCAAATATTTTATTAAAAGTAGTGTTTTGCTAAAACTATTGGTTTGGTTTTCTGTAGGGAGCTGAGTGCTGAGGACCAAATTGCTCTTCTCAAGTCCAGCGCCATCGAGGTGATCATGCTGCGCTCAAATCAGAGCTTCAACCTGGAGGACATGTCCTGGAGCTGCGGAGGGCCCGACTTTAAATACCAGATCAGTGATGTCACTAAAGGTCAGCATGAATCTGCTGCATTTACAGTTTGACAGCTCCAGAGACGAGCTGACGGTCGGGATCGTTTTTATAATACAGTGCTGAGCTGGGGGGAAATTGTGAAAAAAAGACGAGAATGTCACAAAAAGTTTTTAATCAGGAAGTAGGGAAACGGCCTGCGACCACAGGTGTTCATTTAGTTTCCAACTACAGTTAAAGTTGCTGGAACCAATGTGTGGCTAATAAAAGTGTTTCTACATAACCAGTCAGACACATCTGTAGAAGACCCTGAAGGCATGGCTTTCATTTACCTTTCAAACAAGACTCTTTTCTTTTTTTCCCCCTTTTTTAGGATCAAGCAAAGAATGTCACTTATGACCTTCTCGCCATGCAAAACAACAACCGTGTGAACCTGGAGGAGAAACTTTCAGCTGTCACGTAGTCTGAATACTTGACAAACAATGCTGGACTAGATGTTCTTTAAAGAAGTCATTTTTAAGTTTTCTTTATTTTTTTAGCAAAGCAGTTTTCTTAAAAGAAAAATCAATGCCATATACTGTATAATTGAAAATAAATACTTTAAACTAACAAGGCCACTGCACAAATAAATCTAAAGTACAAAATTAAAAAGTAGTTCTTTGCTTAAGTACTGCAAATTTGCAGAGATCATAAGAGACATTTTTGATTCGAGGCGTGTTAATTACATTCACACATCCATAGACTGTCTTCCCATAACATAAAATCTAAACTACACTGAAGTGTGCTCTTCTGAACCAGAAAGAGCAAAGCAATACGTTAAAACAGATATTTCATTTAAATGCTAATTATTTTATCACTTCTTATAGTTCATTATGATTGACCACAAAGAGTTTCCCATTTATTCTATTTTATGACCCATAAAATGTTACGTAATTGAGCAACTGAAAAACTCAAATGTATAGCTGTCACCAACAGAGTGTTTGTCTTTAAAGTAGGTGACTTTGTGTGTGAGGTTTTTTTGTTTGTTTGTTTTTTGGGTTTTTTTGTTTTTTTTTAGACAAGACTCAATAAATTACAACCCAGCTTGTTGACAATGATTCAATCAGTGACAATCAGCCTGTAAAAGTCTGGATGGGTCCAGTTTTAAGGATAGTCGACGTGACAGATTATAGTACTTCAGATTACTCAGACAATACTGACAACTTCCTGGACGTTGCCCTTTTGTTTTCTGCTCAGCATAACCCTCTGTTTATTACTTAGACCTGCTTGCTATTATAATCTTTATTTACTCCAATAATAAAGCCAATGATTTAAAGAGCCTGAAGCAGATTTCTTAAGTCCCAATCAGTTTTTGTCTCTATTTCATGTCAATGCCACAGATTGGTAACATATTTCAACACAGTTGCAAAATGTTTTTGACTATTCAGCAGCTCTGCATAACAGTGGAACATCTCATTAATCTCAAATGATCAAAATAAACATTTAACCTGCTATATTCGTAACACTGAACGATAAAAGTTCTCCCTCGTTTGGATCGTCTCACATCTGTTCTGTGGGTTACAGTAACCTGAACTGTGCAAAGAATATACATCTTGTCAGTGGTAGAAATTGTTTTTGCAGTGCACATCTGTGATACACTTATTTATCGTGTTGCATTAAGCTCCTCCGCCGTGGCTAATGTCAAATAACAAAGATTTGGAGGTGAGGTGTCTGTAGTGACTCTGATCAATCAGAAATGCTTTGAAGCAGAGCACAATCCAATACTTGAGATTGGATTAGGACATTCCTAATACATTCCCTTGTGTTATTGTCAATGTTTTTTTTAACTGCTGTTAAAAGAAAATTATGTGACTGTCTATTAATGTTAACTTTGTCAGCATATAAAAAAAATAATGTCTTGTTTTCTGCAGCGGGCCACACTCTTGAGCTGTTGGAACCACTGGTGAAGTTCCAGGTGGGCCTGAAGAAGCTCAGCCTACATGAGGAGGAACATGTGCTGCTGATGGCCATCTGCTTGCTCTCTCCAGGTACTGTACACCTGTGGAAGAGGGAAAAGGTTGAAGGCGATCCTGAATTGTTGGCAAATGCACTCTTCTTTTTTCGTTTTCATTATTATATGATGACAAATTGAGGCTGACTGAACCCMCCCTGTTTTTTTGTATATATTTGCAGATTTGTTGCTAATATTATGTATAAAAATATCCAAGCTAACGTAAGAGTTTGCATCTCTTTAGCCAGTTTTCCACCTACACGGTTCGGTTTGGCTCCACTCCCACTCTGCACCTGTTTTTGGTCTTTCCACTGTGGCTCCCGGCCGCTCTCGGCCCACTTTTTCGGACCTCCTCTCAAGGTAGTACTGAGGCCGGCACCGTTTGGGGCGTGGAGGTGCCGAAGCGTGTAGCAATCGCGATTGGCTAGTGGAGCTGCATGAACCGCCCTGGATGATGTTATTAACAAATGCGCAAAGATTCAGAGCGAGCTGATTTACTGAGATTTCCCAAATGATGGCGGCGCGCCAGGAGAAATTAAAAATATTGAGTCAGTTTTCAGAGCAGTGAAGGACTGCAATGGCCCGAGTGGCTCAAAGCAGTGGGACTAGAGCTGGTTTGGGTAAATGGAGGCGATCTCTCTACAGCCACCGGTCTGGCTGCTGGACTCTTCACAAACTTCAGACAGCTGCAGACGTGGTGAGTGCTTCATGCATTTAGTTAAAGATTAAATATCAGACTTTTTTATGTCAATAGATAACTAGCACAGAAGAACGATAAACAGCAGCTTCTGTGCCTCTATTTAAATTATACCACCCACAGAGTGGGGACACTAGTTACAGTGGAAAATCACCTACACCGAGCAGAACCGAGTAGAGTAGAAACGAGTGGAGCCGCACCTTGTAATGGAAAAACGGCTTTTGTGTGTGTCATGTCACGTCTCATGACCAAAAATTAGCAAATCGCCTGAACAAAAAGTTAAAGTACAAATAGTTCCTGTTTTCTAGCATCCGTTGTTCTGTTGTTGCTGCTTTAGCTTCTTTAAGTTTGTTTTATACTTCAATTCGCACGTCTTGTTCCCGCTACTGAGTGACAAAATATCTGACGTCTTCTTCCTGACTTGAGTATAAACGGGCCCTCCCACAGCTCATACACTGTGTTCCAAATTATNCCTCCCACAGCTCATACACTGTGTTCCAAATTATTATGCAAAAAATATTTTCTCAGATTTTCCAAAATTACCTATATAAATTGCAGTCATTGTCATTTTCCAGTCATCAACTATTAGAGTACAATTGAATATTGATAAGTCTATTTAAAAAATAAATAAATAAAACACTCAAAATGCATGTTCCAAATTATTATGCACAGCAGAGTTTTCAACCTTTTCATTTTTATAAAGAACAAAAAAAATGGTCATTTGTGAAATTATAAGCATTAGCAGGTTATTACAAACTGAAATCAAACAGTTTTCAAGTCAAAACTTAATTGTAGGTGATGTTACATTTGCACATAGGACCCCTTGTTCGAAAGGAGCTTCTGAACTCTTTGGTCCATTGAATTTGTCAGGTTCTGGATGGTATCTGCTTCAATTGTTTTGCATGAGGACAAAATACCCTCCCAGAGCTGTTGCTTAGATGTGAACTGCCTCCCGCCATCATAGACACTCCTTTTGATGATGCTCCAGAGGTTCTCAATGGGGTTGAGGTCAGGGGAGCATGGGGGCCACACCATAAGTTTGTCCCCTTTTATGCCCATAGCAGCCAGAGATGCAGATGTGTTCTTTGCAGCCTGAGACGATGCATTATCATGCATGAAAACGATCTTGCTACYGAATGCACAGTTCTTCTTCTTGAACCATGGCAGGAATTGCTGTTTGAGAAACTCCACATACATTATGGAGGTCATCTTTACCCCTTCACGTATCCTAAAGGGGCTGACAATCTCTCCCRCCATGATTCCAGCCCAAAACATTACTCCACCTCCTCCTTGTTGGCGCCGTAGCCTTGTTCGCATGGGGTGTCCATCAACCAGCCATCCTCCACTCCATCCATCTGGACCATCGAGCGTTGCACGGCACTCAACGGTGAACAAAACAGTTTTGAGGTCAGTCTTCATGCATTGTTTGACCCACTGGAGCCGTTTCTGCTTGTGTGCAGTGGATAGAGGACAGGATGGCTCACGCACAGCTGCAAACCTTTGAAGGACCCTGCATCTTGTTGTTCGGGGGACATTGGAGGCACCAGCAGCTTCAAAAACTTGTCTGCTGCTATGATGAGGCATTTTTACAGCTGCTTTTTTAACCTGGTGTAATTGCCTGTAAGAAAGAGTCCTCAATTTTCCTTGTCAGCACGCACATGTGTGTGCTGTGAATCAGCTACACACTTCTTGATTGTACGATGATCACGATGAAGTGTCTCGGCAATGTTGATTGTAGTAATGCGTTGACCTAAACACTCCACAATTTGTGGCTTCTCAGCAGCTGACACATCCTTTTTCTTTCCCATTTTGTCTGAAAATAGGCTGCTTAATAATGTGGGACAGCCTTCTTAAGTAATCTTGCCTTTAGGGATGGGAAATCGTCCCTATTGTCAGATCATAAGATCATGGTCACTGGCTATCGCCGATAGACGATCCAGTCAGCTGATAAGGCATGTGCAGTTACGTTGTAAAAAAAAAAAAGCAAGCAGGTCCGCTTATTACAAGCGACGGCTTCTTTTTTTCTAAAGTCGCTTGTAAATTCTGTGAGTCGCAGGTTGCAGTTTTTTGGGCTTGTTTTTGAACGTGAGTTCATTATTTTGGGCTTGTCTTTCTTTCCGAATGACATGCTTAACTCTGCTCCTGTTGAAGCAGAACACAAGGAGTGGTGGGTTTGTCCCTCCCACTCCCTCATTTCCTGGTTGTTGCTCCCGCCCGAGTTGAGTCGGCACACACACACACACACACACACACACACCAGAGTCCAGAGTGACGGGGAAAAGCAGGGGTGAGGCAGTACGGTCCGGTTCAGAACTGGTTGAAGTTATTTGTTCAAATGTATGATTGTCATGGATTATTAATTTTGTAACTAAACATAATAATATAGCACTATTTGGGTGACTTGTGACGCACCAAAGCAAGAAGATGATGAGAGGAGAGACGTGAAGAGGAGCTGCGTATGTTGACGCTGACTCCAAAAAAAAAAAAAAAAAAAAAAAAAAAAATAAGCAGAGGCAGCTCTGTATATTAATTATTTTATTCCCTCATTTGCGCAGATCACAGTAATGATGTTTAAAAC